TCCTTCCCCGGCAGAGCATCTGGTGGATTCAAACCGTGAGCCTCTGGGATTGTAGTTGCAGCTCCTTGCCACTAGGCCACCAGAGCTCCCCTAACAGCTAAGTTCTTAACCACTGTGCTACCAAGGCTCCTTCCACTCATTTTAGCAGGCACAAAGACTTGATGACATGACCAGAGCTTGCTTTAGACTTCTTATAGTGCCAACCTTGAACACACAATTTATTTCATGGTATTCTTTTCTTCCTGGAAGACTTCAAATTGTCCTAACTTTTGAGTACCACTCAAATACTGATGACACCCAAATCTTTTTAAATCCAGACCTTTTCTTAGAAAGTCTGACTCTAATACCTAACATTTTTCATTCTCATTGCTGCTGAGTCAGAATCCTCCATTGAGTTCCCCTCCAAGATTATAAATCGCTCAGGAGGAGATTATCTTTCTCCTAAGGAGTCACGTGTGGATTCAAACTACCAGGGAAGTATGGCTTTTGGGTTGGTTTTGCAACTTCCCATAGACAATACCACCAGAGCTTCTATCCAACAGCAAAAGTATGTTGGAAATGTCTAGCTTTGCAAGTACCTCAAAGTCAACATCTCCCTCTGGAACTCACAATAGTTCCTCAGACCTGTTTCTTCTCCTGCATTCTCAATTTTGGCTGGCAATATCATTAAGTCACCAAGACCAAGAACCTGGGAATCATCCTTGACTCTTATCTACTTTACTCAGTCAATCCTTCCCAATGTTCTGTTGATTTTACCCTCAAGGGTATCCTTCAAATCTATCTACTCTTTATTTTCACAACCAGGTAGGTTAGATTACTATCTTCCCCCCTCCCCCAAATTAATGGCAACTTTTTAACTTGTCTCTAACCCTCAAACCTATCCCTCTCAATTCTATTTATTTTCCTTTCACTGCTACTGTGATTGATTTAAACCCCAAAATGACCAGGCTATTCCTCTGATTAAAATCCTTTAAAGGCACACTAATATCTCCCCAGCAGACTTGTAGGAGTAAGATGGACAATCTTTTCCCTTGCAATTTACAGCCTCGGAAAACTCACTGGAGGATCAGTTTTGAGTCATTTTTGAGCTGACTGGCAAAACATGTGAGAGTGCTGAAGCCTCTTTCTGAGGCCACATCTCCCTTCCTAGCTTCACATTTGAAGCTCTAGCAACTGTGAACTACTTGTTTCCCTTATATATAACATTGTTTCGATCTTCTACATCCCTTCTACTCTGAATGCTCAACCTCTTCATCTGGCAAATTTATGATTTACCCTTTAAGTCTCAGTTTAAGCATCATCAAGGAATGCTTTTCAAACCAAACCAAACCGAAACTGGATTAGGTATCTCTTCTCCAAATTTTCAAAACATCCTAGCTATTTATTTCTTTTTCATCTTAACACTAGCTCAGTGACTGCCTCAATAGGTTTCAACTCATGGGTCTTTGTTTTCTTTCCCTAGATAACTCACTGCTATCGAGTAGGAACCTACTCATAGCTAACTCTCCCCTGAGATTCCTTCTGAGATTGTAAGTCTTGAAAAGAAATTGCCCCTATTTCTCCTGCAGAGCAGCTGGTAGATCTGAATCTCCAGAGATGTAGTTTTAGGGTTAGAGGAGCAGCTGTTTACAGTCTTTGCCACCAGAGCTCCCTAAGAACTAGGTGCACAATAAATTTTGTTTTGTATGAATGAATACATGCAGTAGAGATTACTAATCTTCTGATAGAAATCAATGCAAAGAACATAGGTTTCTTTTCTTATGACTTAAGGGAATTAGATGAGAAAGAGGTTCGTTCCTGAGAACTCTCGACTCTCTGCAACGAGTAACTTCTTGGATTTTCAATCTTAACCCTGTAATCCCTTGGAAAGCAGTAAGGCACAGAAAGATGGGGACGAGAACAGAGATCCTCCCGAGGAGAAACTTTGTCTATTATCTCCTAGCCATTCTAAGAGAGCAAACCCCTACAGCTGTAAAGACACGTCACCGTCCGGTCCAGGAGGACGTATTCTGAAAATACTCGTCCCGCTTTCAGGCAACAAGTCAGATCCCTCTGTGCTAACCTTAGTCTTTTCTGCTCCTGCTTCACTATCCTCCCCTTAGACCCCAGACCCGATACGGATCCCCGTTTACACGAATTAGAGAAGGCAATTGAAAAACCGGAAGTGGCTTCACACGGAACCTATTTTGGGGGACACTTAACTGATTTCCCACGACCCACTTCGACACGGTCGACCACAGAAATGTAACTAACCCGTATAAGAGACTGGTATTCCTCCTTTAGTCTCTGCACCCATAACTCGCGATCTCGGGGTCCGGCGTTAGTCTTCAGGACAGGGATCTCTGACACCACCCGCCGGGTGGCTTCGTCCGCCATATTGGACCAGGGAACAAGGGAAAGCCGGAAGTGGTGTTGCCAGCAGTTAACGCCAAAGGTGCCGCCATCTTTACTATGGGAAGCTGGAATTTCGGACAGCCTGTAGACTTCTCTAAATGCAACTTGTATTCTCTCATCGAGTGGACAAACTTGTCACATTGATTGTGGGTACAACGGGAAGAATAGCATGGAAACGTATCCCTCTGCCCTAAATATAGCTCCTATTATTAAAAATACTGTGCACCGCTCAAAGAGTAATTTCCGCTCATGCGCAGAAAAGTAATCTCAGAAAACGCTTTCGGACCTTTGCAACAAACTTGTCGAGTTATAATCAGACCGGCTGTGGGCACTGTTCTGGCACCGATCTCCTAAAAGTGGCATAGCAACCCTATGTACGAAAACTCTGAAGCCTGCCCCATCCTGAGCCAGCCTCACTGACTCTGACACACCTACTCACGTTACCCAGTTACTGTATCAATCCATCTCATCTGACACACCATCCTTCTGAGCATAATGTCCTTCTCCAAGGACCGGTCCCTCCTGGCCACATGCCCAAAGTATGTGAGACGGAGCTTCAAAATGCTAGCCTCCAAGGACAAACCTCTCCAAGAACAAACCCTCTCCAAAACACATCTATTTGTATGTTCAAGACTCTTCAGCACTAAAATGTAAAGGTATCAGTTCTTCTGTCATCCTTCGTCATTGTCCAGCTGTCTAACGCATAGCAAGTAATTGTGAAGACCATGGCCTGGATCAGTCTTTAGACTGACTCTGTTGCTTCTCAATACTCTGAAGAGGTCCTCAACAGCAGATTTTCTCTGTACAATTCATCTTTTGATTTCCTGACTGCTGGTGCCAAGAGTGTTGATTATGGATCTGAGCAAGCTGTACGTGTTAACAAACCTCAATCTCTGCAGCCATCATGGTGCTGCCAATTGGCCCTGTGGTGAGAATCTTTGTCTTCTTGATGTTGAGCTTCAATCCATATTGAAGACTACATATTGAATTCCTTGACCTTCTACAGCAAGCGCATCAGGTCCTCCTCAGTTTCAACAAAGTTATGTCGTCTGCATAATGTAAGTTGTTGATGAGTCTTCCTCCAATCCTAATTCCATATTCCTCCTCATAAAGTCCAGTATCCCAAAAGATCTGTTATACATATACACTGAAAAGGTATGAAAACAGGAAGCGCCCTTGACACACATCTTTCCTGATCTTGAACCATTAGTGTTTCCTTGCTCTGAGTACTGAGGTAACAGCAGCCAAATTCGGTAATCCAATGGAAGAACATTGAACTCTTGACAATCATTAGAAACCAGGGAAAATGAAAACAGAATATACAACTCCCGCCCTGAGGAATCTATGCAATCTAATTAGGGACATGCTTAGTAAGTGCCATAGGAGTTACATGAGAAGACTCACTTTAGCCTAGAAAAAGCATGTACTGAATTCTGGACAATAATCTGGATTTAACTCATCTATAAAGGAGTCCCATTGTAAGCCGGAATCAAGAGTAAGGCAACCAATCAACCACATCATCATTCCTAGAGTATGGCACCCAATAGGTACCCAGTAACTTTTTTTGCAGAATTTTGCATCATTCCATGGATTTTTCAATCTGAAAATATTCAACTGGCACCTGATGAACATATCTTGTTGATTCAGTGATCCGTCCCAGCTTGTGGCAGTAATTTTAGATATATTTCTATTTCTACCAAACATCAAATTATTTGTTGACTTGCCAATTCTTTTCTAGAATCTTCCACACAATGTGGGGGGAGAGGTGATAAGACCTAGAGTCTTATCAATTTCAGGGGACAGGCCACTCTCTCTTTCTCCATTAAGTACGATTTTTTGCTTTAAGTTTTTCAATGTTGTTGTTAGTTACCATTCACTTGATTCTGACATATAATAACCCAATGTAGGACAGAACAAACCCCTGTCTGGTTGTGCACCATCCTAACAGTCATTGCTGTATTTGAGCTCATTGTCTGCAGCCACTATGTCAATTCCCCTTATTGAGGATCTTCCTATTTTCCCACGGACCTTCTACTTTACGAGGCATGAAGCACTTCTCCAGGGACTGGTCCCTCTTTCTAACAGTGTGTTGAAGATGTATGTAAAAGGTATTTCAAAATTAGAGTGCCCAGTACTTCTAAGGGGCACTGGTTCAGGAGTAGGCCCACTCCATCTTGTATTCCTTTTTTTTTTTTCTTTAATTGAGATTTTAACAAAAGTTTACCAAGAACTTGGATTTCCATCCATTCATTGTTGCACATTTTTCTCCCTACCCTTCCCCAGTTCCCTTTTCTCTTTAACAACAACAACAACAATTTAAAAAATCTTTCATTGTTGTACTCTATTTTGAATTTCTTAAAACTCCGTTTTTCCTATCTTGCTTTCCTTAGAGTCATAGTTAACCTTTAGAAATAGCTTATATAGTTTCTACATACTTGTATTTAGATGAGCCGGTTCACTTGAAATTCATTCTTTCAGGAAATAACTGAAGTTTTATGAACATGTGCTGTTTCTAAGACTCCAACTTGCAATGATTGCGCTTTGATCTTGTGATTGGTTATTTTTGTTGTTGTGGCTGGGTTGCTTTGTTGTTGTTTGTTTTTCTCTCTCATTGTACAGCCCTGTCAGTGCTCACAGGCCACAGGAAGGAAGGCTAGGCTATGGTCAGAGGTGCAATTGATTCTGGCATGGGTACAAAATCTTAGAAAAAAAAAAAACCTATGCTTAAAGTAAAAAAGTAATAATCATATTCTGAGGGAAAATTTAGACAGTAATTGATTTTCCATTCAGTCATTGATAAAGCTTTTGTTTTATGGCCTTAATTACAAACCCCACATTGTAATATAATACACACACACACACACACACACACACACACACACACACATCCAATCTGTGATTCTCCTTCTATCCCTGCTTGCATTCTGACCATTGTCTCTAGGCAAATATTGCCTTTATGATCTTGTATAACTAATTGTTCTAAAGAGTGAGTACTCTTTACCTTATAAGCATGTCTTATTGTTGGCTGAAAGTTGAGCCGCAAGGATAAGTTTATCATGGGTCTTAGACTAGTGGCAAGAAGCTGCACTACAACCCTGAAGGCATGTGGTTTGAATCCATCACCTGCTCCAATTAACTGCCTCTGAAAACCTGCCAGAGGGTCAGCTATAGATCAGTTCTGATTCAACAGTACACAGCAACAACAGAACTCAAAAGGTTTCTTTCTTTCTTTCTTTTTTTTTAGATGTAGCCAAATTGAGTGGGTTTTTATTTCTCTCGAGTGGACATGAGTGCCAGATGAATGGCAATAGCCGGGAACAAACATTCCTTAAAATGCAAACCCAGGCACAATAATAACAGTATATTTGTTTGGCTCTGCACGTTTCTGTCACAGAAACAACCTTGAATGGAAGCCTGGGCTTCTCCCAGGACTGTGTGGTGACCTTCTGCGGCCGGCCTCTGGGCATGCTCCAGCCCGTGTCAGGCCTGCACCATGGCTCAGAGTACAGTCTGCAACGGTGCAGCATTGCCACAAATTCAGGAGTTACATTAATTTCTTATCATTTTTATGATTTTTCATTTTCTTCCACATTTTTCACCCACTCTGTCCAGGACCCTCTACTGTGATCCCTTATAGAATTGTTAGCAGTGGTGGCTAGGCACCATCCAGTTCTTCTGTTCTCTGTTAGGTTCTATCAAGTTGACTATGGTGCGTAATAACTCTATGAACAACATATCTGAACCTTACCCTATTCTGCATCATTCTCCGAATCTCCAGCATGCTCAAGCCCATTGTTATAGTCACTGTGTGAATCCATCTCCTTGAAGGTCTTCTTCTTTTTCGATAACTCTCTACCTTTCCCAGCATGATATTTTTTCCTATAGACTAGCATCTCCTGACAACATGCCCAAAGCATGTGAGACAAACTTTACCACCTTTGCCTCTAAGAAGCACCCTGGTTGCACTTCCACCAAGACAGATTGGTTTGTTCTTTTGGCTGTCCATGATATATTCAATACTCTTCGCCAAAAGCACAATTCAAAGATAGCAATTCTTTAGTCTTCCTTACACACTGCCTAGGTTTTGGATGTGTAGGAAGCAATTGAAAATACTGTGACTTGGATCAGACATCCTTACCTTAGTTTTTCAAGTTATATCCTTGCTCTTTAGCCCTTTAAAGGTCCCTGACAGTAGATTTTCCTATACAGCACATACTGCTGCTACCATGAGTCTCATGGTAGTGCAAATACATATGGGTCCATTAGTTCTTTGGACTAAATGTTTCTATGAATCTTTGCTTCTTTGCTCTGGACATGAAGGAATCAATAGCTGCACCTTTGATGGCTACTCACAAGCTTTTAAGACTCTTGTTGTTGTGTAGGAACCAACCCATAACTGACCCTCCATCGGGTTTTCAGAGGCAGTTAATCACATTGGAGGAGATTCCCATCTTCTCATGTAGAGTAGCTGGTGGATTTGAACAGCATGCCTTAAGAAATGCAGCGCTGCTTCTTGCCACTAGGCCACCCTTGTTGTTTGGTGCCGTTGAGTCATAGACGACTCATAGCAACCCTTTTAACGAAAGGCCTGAGCACTGTTCGTACATAGAGTTTCTGGAGGCAAGCCATTTCGGAAGTGGATGCCGCTCCTGCTTCCAGGCTTGTTTTAATCCGGAAACCACCCTAGTCATGCTATAAAAACCAAAATACCCCTGACAAACAAACAAACAAACAAACAAAAAAATCACTCATTGCCATGGAGTCACAACTGCTTTAAAGCTGACCCTCCATTGAATTTTCAAAGCTATAAGTTACAAGCAGAGAGATTATTCATCTTTCTTTTTTTTCCCACTTAAGAATGTAATTGATGATAAAATAAAAATTATTATATTAAATCTTGAAAATGATTGTACTAAAGCTGATATTATAATTGGATTTAAATAGTAGCAAGTATTTATGAACAACTTTACAGTATAAGACTA